CCAGCCTGCCCCGGCTGTCCCTCAGCCCTGCCAGGGAGAGTAACAGCGGGGAGCCCGAACCGCCGCCACGCGCCGTGACATCGCGGCGGACAGACGCTCTCGAGGGATTTCACGGTAACGAACTACGTGGCCCGAAAAGCTGCCGGTCACCCACCGTCGGGGGAAGGTCGGGCAGAGGGGTGCACCTCGGGGTGCGCCGCTAATATCGGAAGGATGGAGCTAAAAACCCCCAAACAAACAAAAACTTACACGTAAAAAAACTTTTAAGCATATAGCGAAGTGGTCTGAAACCAGGCTAGCAAGAATAAAAGGTTCCTAAGATTAAAGTGCAGAATGACCTTGGAGGTTAAAATAACCAGAAACAAGACACAGTGATTAAGAGCAGTATGTAAAGACAGTAAAATTGTGTCAACGCCTGTAGATAATGCCCTGTTATAGCTTCTTTACATGCGCCAGGGACAGATCTGGACAAAGATCAAAAATACAAGGTGTCTGCTACATAACGTATGGGGGCTTTAATACTAAAAAACATACCTCTAGGAGGAGATTTTAAATGTAAATGTAGGACCACCTTAGTATAATGCATTAGGTAACAGGATAATGAATTAGGTAATTGACGGAGCATGCGTACGAAGATTTCTGTGATGTAAAATCATGTAACTATATATAATTTCTTTGCTCTTTGTACTGTATATAAGCTGCTGCTGTTTGAGCTAACGCTGTGCTGGATTTGTGATTTATTGCCTAGCATTCCAGTCTGCAAACTGGCAATAAAGACAAATATCTCGACTCAGTGTGTCGATTGGCATTTTGCACACCGGGTGAAAAAACCCCGATTTAGGGACAACACCTCGGGGGGTGCCTGCAGGCTGGAACGCTGGCCTTCCACAGACCTCAGCCGCTGCTCCTCGACGTGTCGAGATTTGCATTGAAAAGCTGTGTAAATCGTGTGCCTTTAGTGGAGTAAAATGCCTCTTACTATCAAGATTCTTAATATTAAATTATTTCTTTAATAATTACCAAGAAAAAAAATGAAATGTTAAGGCTACTGGGCCATTCAAACATTTCGCTGTGAGCACTGAACAAATATATGGGTTTTAACTTGGAACTTTTGCCAGTTCTGTTCCTATCTGCAGTTTTGCTTAATGCTATTTTACTCCTAAAAACTTCTCACAGCTCTGTTACAAGCACACTATATATTCTATCAGGGATTCCCACCCACGGTTCCGGCCGGGAAGCCGGCAGAGGGAGTCACGGCCGTCAGCCGCGACCGGAGCACGAGCCGTGTCTGCCCTGCTTTTCATTTCTAGGAGATGGCATTTCAGAGCGTGCCCGAGAGCAGGGCCCTTTGGCATCAGATCATAAATATTTTCATGGAAAGGTGGGTATGTGTGTGTGCAGTTTCGGAAGACAGAAAAATCCTTTTCCTGATTGGTAGTTGTTGCTCTATTACTCACGACAAGCATGAGATGTTTAGTACATCTGTCTGTTCTGCCAAGAGTTTTAAGTGAGAAACTGCAGCACAAGGTTTCGTGACGATAATGCAGCAGAGAGGGGCAAATTTCAGCCTTTGCACGACTATTGTGTTCAAGGTAACGTTGAGCTGAAAGACCTCAGGCACGACGGAGTCCCCCCTTGCTAGCATCATACAGCAACCTGCTACCTCAAAGAAGTCACAATATACAGACCACAAGCGATTATAATCTCAATTTACAGGTAGCCTATCTGTCGTCCCATATTTGTAATAAATGACTCGTGCAGTTGGCTCTAGCAAGGTGTGTGCTCACACCTCTATGACTACCGCTCTCTTTCATCCTTCCACTGGCCTACGTCGGGTTTCTTCACGTGATGCCATCAAAGACGGCACGTGGCCGGATTTGGAAAGCCTCACAGCAAAGCAGACAGGTATCGTATTCCCTCGAACAGTAGCTGCCACCACAGTCTGAACGAGGAGCCTCACGCAGAGGTCTCCTACAGAAGCAAGATATTACTGAGCGTCTTCACTCTTGCCAAGTTTCTTCCATGACTCTTCTAATTTGGGATAGAAAATGCAGTCTGGGGTAGCACCCTCAAAGGGTTGCTGAGCCAGGCCTAAACCAAGATACACTCATCTTTCCACAGCCAGCCTGGCACTGATTTTTAAAGCAGAATAAATGCCCCCGAACTGTAGTCATATGTGACTGGTTTATCTGGTCCTTCCTCATAGCTTCCCACACAGTGTGACACACCACAGTGTGGTGCCCCGAGAACTGCTTCTGCCACACTCTGTATGACTCCTCAGGTTCCTTGGCTGCTTTATGTCTTCTGCAGCTATTTATGCACCAGAGTAATATGTTAATAAAACAACAACAGGGTCGGGGGTGGTTATATACTCTTTGCACCGTCTGCAATGATAATGTGCATGTTTGAGGATCTGTATCCTCTAATTCAATGCAGTGGGAGAGCTGCCTGGGTTTCTGCAGCATGCCCTGCTAGGAAAACATCATGGCATCACGCTAGTTGGGAAGGACATTTAAAAGTTGCTGCGTGCACAAAACCACTGCAGTTGTTGCAACTAGGTCAGGTGAGAACACCAAGCTGCCTACAACCACATGATTACGGACAGGCCTTTGAACTCTGACTTCTGTGGCTTTTTAGAGGTATAGGTGGAGTCCTTGGCCATAAAGTACGTGCTTTGTCACTTCACAGCCCGTGTCCAGGGATTTGTGCTTGGCTAAACACAGAAGCCTTGTGTACGTATGCGGGAACAGAATTATGGCAACTGTGGAGCTATAAGGGAAAAGCATCAGGATTGTCTGGACTTCCTCTCAGCAAGATATTTGTTTTGCAACATGAATACCCATAATTTGAAAGCTAATGTACTGACGTCTGAGCTGTCCCCTGGTGTTCAACTCTGCAGAGTCATGGGAGTAGGAAGGAAAGATTCGGAGCTTTGCAGAACAAGCCAAAAAAAAAAAAAATCTCTTAAGTTTGCAATGGAGACTTTCCATGGTGCCAACAGCTAGGAATGCCATTTCATTGTAAATCAAGGCTGCCGTAGGAGAGCCAACAGAATCTGGAAATTAGGGCTATGCTTTTCATGGGTTTTGTATTACTCTGTTTTGAACAGAGCTGAGAGGAGCTTGGCGTGAAGCCACTGTCCAAAACAATGTAGGGAAGCATATGTGGTTTGAGAATTACTCAACACCATTTGAGTTTTCAGTTTTTCCTGTCTTTCAATCCAAAAGGTATGAGGGTTCCAGGACTCAGTTTCCTCCACAGTAAGCAACTCTACACAGTAATGTTCACTAAAATGCTTTAGCGTTGGAGTTTACATATGCAATACTGTGGCTTCCCTCTAGAAACTGCTCGGAAGCAATAAGAATTGAAATGGAAAAAAATGGAAAAAAAGTTTAGAATACATTACAGATAGTTTAATATTAATATTCCTATGAGCCATTGTATCATTGCTAAAATTTAGCAGCCAGGAGCAGCAAAATTCAGAGGAGCCACGTTGCTGTTACTGCACATCCAGAAACCACACAAAGCCCAGCAGCAAAAGTTAGAGCTGTTCACATGTTAATGAATTTAGCCCAGAGCTTAGGTTCTGTACACAAATGATCCGTCATTCAAATCCAAGTTTTGCCCAAAAATAGGTTCTGAATGGTGTATATACACAGTGCTGGCCACTCATCTAAAATTAATTTCACCTGCAGCTCTTCACACTAGGCAGTTTGTGCCATGGGATAATCCACCAGATGAGGGCATGAAGCCTTGTGATGTGTATTGCTGGTACAGTTAAATGCTTCTGGTCTCAGTGGAATCCTAGCTCACACCTCTGTACTGATATTTCTGCGTCAAACTCTATGTCTCATCTACAGAAAATATAACTAAGTTGATTTTTTTTCCCCAAGTGCTAACTGTATCTAAGTCTACAATTTTCCTGGCTCTTCAGAACAAAGTGAATACATTCCTCCATTTTTCACTACTGCAGTAAAGGATTACAAAAGCATGAAAAAACTATTATATTTTTTATAGGGATTTAGTGCTGGTGGATTAGAAAGAGACTGAGGCAGAAATAATGGATGGACACCATGTCATGTTAGTGCAGACAATATCAATGTCAGTGAAGTGTTGAAGAGTAATGATAAAATGTTTTCTTTGAAGCGTCACACTATTCTAAATACATCTGAAAATAGTGAAACTGCCTGCATGTAACCTGTTGAAATATGGTAGATTAATTTCACTTGCTACCAAGTGATAAATAGGTAAGTAGTGCTAAGCTAGGACATAGGAATTTTTACAGAATTTCAGAAAACAAGTGCAAATAATTTGCTAGAATTAGCTACAAAACTAGGAATTCTCTTCTAAATCTCTCTGCTTTTAGCATTTCTGGGTAGCATATCTATTTGAAAATGCTTGAAAGCAATAACATAAACATTGCTTTTTGTTTAGAACAACAGAATTACTGGAGCATTAGCCAGGCTGTCTATTTTAAGAATTTTGGAACAGAAGAAATAAAAAGAAGATCGAAGGCTGTTGCTTAACTGTACCTTTCTCCTTTCTACTGAAATCCCAATTCCCCGACACTTGTCATTCAAGGATTGCTGGTATACTTCCATCTCTTCCCCCAGCCTGGGTCCTGGAAATCCGACTGAAGGGGTGGAGTATCATACTGCTGGAGAGGACTTGGCTCTGCGTTATTCTGGTCTGAGCTTGAGATATCTGGTATTGGCCTTTCAAGCAAAAGTGTGTCATCAGAGTTCTTTGCAGAGAAAATATCTGTATTCTTCTTCAAGAGCAAACTTTCCTGAAATGTACACAAACATTACTGTAAGCCAAGGGTTGCCGGTCCGTTGAGCCGGTCAAGCGCAGTTCCCATGCCAAGGCAACGTCATGTGAGCAGCGAGAGGGCCACGCTGGCGTGGGAGCACGGGGTAGCCCAAGTCCCCAGCTGCCGAGGCAATGAGCTAGCAGGGACTGCTGAAGCTGACATCACCGAGCTGCCGTGGGTCCCGTCTGTGCATGCAGCCCAGCCTCATCTCCGAGCGGGCTCCTGGGGAGCCATTGTCACCTCCTGAACGGTAGCTGCTCCCAACCCTCCCCCCCAACAGCCATTAAAGGGAGATTGGTGAATATATACCATCGCCTTCATTCTTTGAAGTTTTTTTGAGGGGAGGAGAGAGTCCGGAAGGTCAGTATCCTTGCACTAGACTATTCTACAAAATAGTAGTACACAGTGCCGAGATAAAGGTTAAACAAGCTGTTCCATGAGCAGCAGAACTCAAGAACCCTGTTTTCCTGCAGATTTGGACAGGTTTTTGCCTTCGCTCTCTCCTCATTCAGCTGTAGGACCCTAACCTGGCACCTTGCATAGGGTGATTAG